GAGGCCGGGGCACGGGGGGGGGGGGGGGGGGGGGCGATATGAAGACACAGGCAGGTCGCGAGATATGGAGATGGTGCGCGGGAGAGGGGATAAGCCGGAGGGCAGAGCGAGGGCAGAGGCAGGGGGAAGGAGGAGGGGGGGGGGGAGGAGAGGAGGAGAGGAGGGCCTCAGCCAGATGCCGAAATGCGGGAGGGGGGGGGGTGTCCGAGCGGACAGGGCCAGACCAGGCCGGCGGGGTGGCCCTTCGAGGGGGCTGGGGCCTCGGCGGAAGGCGCCCGGGCGCGGGCAGGGCGGCATACGGGATGGGGCGGATGTGCGCTTTCACCCGGGCTCGCGCGAGCATCGGGATGGCGGCCCACCCGCACACGCACACGCACACGCACACGCACACATGCACACGAGCACCATGGCGGCCGACGGCGGCCCCCTTGAAAGAACAGGCGGGGGAGATAATACGTCGACCGATCTGACCCAGAGAACCAACCGGCCCATCACCCGCCGGACAGATGGTGGAGCCGCCCCCGGCTAGCAGGGAGCCCCCCCCCCCCCCCCCCCCCCCCCCCGCCTCCCCACCCCGCCGGGGCTGGCAGTGCTCGCTCTGTCCTGTGCGCATGTGTGCGCGCGTGCGCGCGGGCCCACAGAATTAGCCCTGCCCGAGCCGAGGAAGCCCCCATTGGCCGCCGCCCCCCGCCCCCTGCCCGGAAAGACGCCCCCTGCCCCGGGCTCGTGGGCTCTCCGGCCGGAGCGTGTCCCGGAGCGCAGAGCCGCGGCTCGGATGCAAACCACTGTCAGAACCCCCTCCTCTCCCGCCCCCGGTTCACTCGACAAAAGCCAGGCGAGCCTCGATGGGGGCAGGCGGGCCAGAGTGGGCCCGGCGGCCCGGCCGACGGCGGCGGCGGCACCTGCTCCTTCCCACACACACACCTGGCAAGCTGGGCAGGGATGCCGTGCGCGAGACCCTGGCGGCCGGACCAGCCGCGACACAGAGCACGCCACCGCCGGCGGCGACGCGGTCCAGCTGCGGCGCCCTGAGGAGGGGCCGGTGTCCCCCGACTGCCACTTCTTATGCACGCCGCTCGGGCCCGGCGCATGCCTGCACCACCCCCCATGCCCGCAAAAACATGCACACGCCTCGAACCGGCGGAGAGCCATATGTGTCACACACACACACACACACACACA